CAGTGTCACTGGCCCTCATATGTGGGATCCGAACCGGGGCCCTCTGGCATCCCAAGCGAGTTCTTAACCATCGCGCCACTCGGCCAGCCCTTGGGGGGTTCTTTTTATTTTTTGCTGTTTTGATTGGGTGTTTTCTGCTACCAAGTCACTGATTCAATCTTCTGCTTCATCTAATCTGCTTTGATTCCCTCTAATGTGTTCTTCATTTCCATTATTGTATTCTTTATTTCTGACTGGTTCTATTTTATGTTTCCTATCTTTAGGTTTCTTGTCTCTTTGTTGAAGTTCTCCCTGAGACCACTGAGCAGCCTCATAACCAGTGTCTGGAGCCCTGCGTCCGGCAGATGGCTTGTCTCCATTTTGTTTAGTTTTTTCTGGAGCTTTGTTCTGTTCTTTCATTTGGGACATGTTTCTCTGTCTCCCCATTTTGGCTGGCTCCTGTGTTTGCTTCTATGTAGGGCTGCTGTGTCTGCTTGTCTTAGTAGAGTGGCCTCATGTAGTAGCTAGGTGTCCTGTGGGGCCCAGTGGCACAGGCTCCCTGGTCACCAGAGCCGGGTGCCCCAGATCTGTCCCTTGGGTGGGTCGTGTGTGTCCTCCTGTTGTAGTTGAAACTTGATTGCTGTTTGCACATCAATAGGAGGGATTGATCCTCGGGGTGCTTGATTGTGAGGACTGGCTGGCTGTAACTACAGTGGAGGAACTGTGGTGCAGGGGCCGACCTGACCCTGCCGAGCAAGGCTCAGTCTAGCGGGGCTCTGGGCCTTCCCAGCCTGACCTTTGGGTGTGTCGTCCCTTGGAAGTGGCTGGTTGATTCTCCAGCTCAGTCCAAAGCTGGCCACTGGGTGACAGCCCCATGGCCTTCTGGGAGAGGACCTGCTGCAGGCCAAGTTCAGCTGCAGACTCTGCCCTGCCCAGGGCCACCTGGCATGAGCCAAAAAGCAGCCCAGAGATGGCTGCTGCCCATGTTGGGCTTGGAGGTGCCTCAAGAGGCCACGCTGCAAATTGAGACCAGCTGCTGCTAATGCCAGGCTTAGGGCTGCTCAACCAGAGGTCTGGGACACGCCAAAGCCAGATGCTGCCTGTTTGGGTTTTGTAAACTTTTGAGAGATTTTAGGAAAGTCTGCAGCATGAGCCAAGGCAGGCTGTTTATACAGAAAAGCCACTGGAAGCGTCTTGGGTGAGCCCGAAGGTTGGGTGGGGCGTGGTCTCAGGGAATCACTAGGGCGGGGCGGACAAATGGTGCTAGTGGGTCTGCGTGAGTGCTGCATGCGTCGGCACGCAGGAAGGGGGCGGGCTCAACAAAGAAACAATGGCTTCCGCCAGCTCCTCCATCCAGGAGGAAGTTGCCCCTCCATCTCTCATCCTGAAGCCACCTCAGTTCCTTCCCATATGTCCCAGTTGCCTTTCGAGCTGCTGCTTCAGGCTAGAGCTCAGAGCGAGTGAGTCTGTCAACAGGTAAGTCCATGCGCGAGCCGTTTAAGAGGAGCAGCTGGGAGTGCAGCTGCCCTCCGTCTCACTCAGTCACAATCCCCACTGCTTTTCACAGCCAGGCGTTATGGGGACTTCTCTTCCTGGCACTGGAAGTCGGGGCTGGGGAGGGGCTGGGACCCCTCGCTCCTCCATTGGGGGGGTAACTTCACAGCTGAGACATCCCTCCTGATTTTTAATGGTCACACATTGGTGTGGGACCAGCCTGTTCCATGTCTCTACCCCTCCTACCGGTCTCAAGGTGGCTGCTTCTGTATGTCTGTAGTTGTAGGGCGTTGGTTCGCTAGACCACAGGCAGTACTCAATAATGGTTGTTCTGTGATTTAATTGTAATTAATGTGGTCCTGAGAGGAGATGAGCATAGCATTTACCTGCTTCACCGTTTTGACCAGAAATCCAAATTTCCTTTTTTTTTAAAAAAAGATTTTTATTGGGGAACTGGTGAGGGGAACAGTGTTGGGGAACTGGGGAGGGGTACATTGTGTTTTTCCAGGACCCATCAGCTCCAAGTCAAGTTGTCCTTCAATCTTAGTTGTGGAGGGTGCAGCTCAGCTCAAGTCCAGTTGCCACTTTCAATCTAGTTGGGGGGGGGCGTAGTCCATGTGGGAGTAGAACCGGCAACCTTATTGCACACTGAGCCATCCAGCCGTCCATCGGCAGTTCGCGGCTGCTCAGCTCAAGGTGCCGTGTTCAGCCTTAGTTGTGGGGGGAGGAGCGGGCGGCGCACCCACCATCCCATGCGGGAGTCAAACTGGCAACCTTGTTCTCACCAGCTCAGTGGCAGCTCAGCTCGGGCGCAGCTCACTGATCTATGTGGGAATCAAACTGGCGACCCTGTTGCTCAGAGCTCGTGCTCTTAACCAACTGAGCCACTCGGCCAGCCCCAAATTTCCTTTTTCTCATAAGGGTACCAGCCGTTGTATGAGAGCCCACTATAATCCAGTATGACCACGTCTTAACTTAATTACATCTGCCAAAACCCTATTTTGAAATAAGGTCAAATTCACAGGTTCTGAGTGGACATGAATTTTGGGGGACACTATTCAACCCAGGATAGCCCTCACCCATATATGGTGGAAAACCCTGTGTCCCGTGAGGGCTCCCACGCTTCTCCTGCCTCTCCCCCATGTTTCCTGCTTCTGCTGAGTATTCGATGGGTGGTCTGCGCTGGACACCACCCAACTCCATCATTTGTGCATCTTTCATGTGGGTCATTCTGGGCAGCGGACGCTCACTGACGTTTAGAGTGACCGAACAGCATATTACAGATGACAACTGGTGCATTTCTTGGCAGGTGGGCACTCCCCCTCTGACCCCGAATGTGTCTCTTTGCCTCTTCTCGACCCCGTCTCGTCTCCTCGCCCCTCAATTCTCTGTTCCTTGGAGGCTCACCTCTTCTCTCCCAGGGTATCTGTGAAAACCACAGTCCCTTTCACTCTTTGTTCAAGCACCCTCCGCCCTTGACCTTTTCCTTCCAGTCTGGACCCTGGACAGAGGCAAAGAGCAGGACCCACCTTCCAGACCAGCAGAAGACACGGGGGTGCTTCCCTAAACTGCATCAAGCTGGCCCCCAAGTATGTGCAAGCAGTCACTTCTTACTTCAAAGAACGGTTCTGCTTTTTTCTTCTTTCTACATCTGCTTTAACATTCTGTGATTCTTAGAGAACAAAAATTCTGAAGAGCAAGGCCCAGAGCCAAGAATGTTTAAGCCAGAAGGGGCTTCTATGAGGAAGGAAACAGACACGGTCTCTGCCCCCGCCTCCCGAGTTCTGCCGTGAGTGTCTGGCCTGTGAAGGGGGCCTGGGCGCAGGGAGGCAGGTGAGCACGAGGGCTGGCTCCTACGGGGGTGGAGGTGGCCACGCACGGGTTGGATTTAGTCAAGTGAATTGTTTCTTGGTTGTGAGACCAGAGCACAGGCAATAAAAGAAAAAATTGATGAGTTGGACTTCATCAAATGTAAAAACTTTTGTGCATCAAAGGGCACTATCAAGGGAATGAAAACACACCCCACAGAGTGGGAGAAAATCTCCACAGTCGTGTATCTGAGACGGGACTAATATCCAGAATAGATAAAGAAAGTCTACACCTCAAACAACAACAGTGAAAATCCAATTTTAAAATGGGCAAAGGGTTGGGATAGACGGTTTTGAAAAAGGAGATACACAAATGGCCAATAAGCACATGAAAAATCATGCTATCACCAACATCACACAATGTCAGTATCACTGGGGAAATGCAAATCGAAACCACAATGAGGGACCACCTCACACTCATGAGGACGGCTGCCATCAAAAAGCAAAACAAGAACAGGAATTACAAATGTTGGTGGGGAAATCGGAACCCTCATGCACTGCTGGGAGGAACATCAAATGGTGCAGCCGCTGTGGAAAACAGTTTGGCAGTTGCTCAGGAAGCTAACTATAGAAATTCCCCTGTGATCCCACTCCTATGTGTATTCCCAAAGAATTGAAAGCAGGGACTGGCACACACTTGCACACCCATGTTCATTGCAGCACAATTCACAGTGGCCAGCAGGTGGAAACAACCCAAGTGTCCATCCACAGACGATGGAGAGGCAAACCGGTCCCTTCACATGATGGACTAGGACTCAGCCCTCAAAAGGAAGGAATTCGGACCCTGCTACAACATGGATGGACCCTGAGGACGTGACGCTACGTGACACGAGCCAGGCACAAAAGGACAGACATTGTATGATCCTGCTTGTGTGAGGGACCCAGCGTAGGTAAATTCATAGGGACAGAAAGTAAGCGTGAACGGGTGGGGGAGGGGAATTAGTGTTTGGTGGGGACAGAGTTTCTGTCTGGGGTGATGAAAAAGCTCTGGGAGCAGATAGTGGTAGTGGTTGCACCGTTTTGCGAATATAATGAATGCCACTGAATTGCACACTTAGAAACGGTTACAATAATGAACAGTATGGTATGTATACATTTACCATAATTTTTAAAAATTGGTAATGCAATATACCAAAAGCCATTGAATTGTCCACTTTCAATGGGTGAATTGTCCGATATGTGAATTATATCTCAATAAAGCTGTTAAAAGGGGGGACGTGCATGTTCCATGCAAAGGCCCTAAATTTTAGGAAGGGGCTTGAGGTATTGGGGACACTGGGCAGTCAGGGGCCTGGAGCCTGTGAGGGGAGTGCAGGGGTGTCTGTCCAGCCCACGAGACTCCCCAGGCCTGGCAAGTAGCTCTGGCCATCCCTCTGCAGGCTGGTTCTGTGCTGAGCACAAGCCTCCCCTTGGAAGCCAGTTTTCTGCACAGCGAAGATGCTGTCTCTGTGCCCGCTTAGCAGATGGCCCCCTACCTTGGCCTGAACTGAGAAGTACAGAAAGCAAACTGGGGACAGACGGCTTCCCTGGCAATGTCTTACAGGCACGCAAGCTTGCAAACTCACACCGCCCTCCCCCGCCACTTGTCTTCACTGTCTCTATGCCCTGAGGCTGGCCAGGGACACGCCGTAGAGGGGCCCTCCTCTGCCCCGCAGACCATGGACAGAGCACCTGGCCCAGGTGCTGGCTCCTGGTCGGTGCTCAGGAAATATGTCTGTCCTCAATGAAAACGGAAGGAAGGAAGGACGGAAGGGAGGGAGGGAGGGAGGAAGGAAGGAAGGAAGGAAGGAAGGAAGGAAGGAAGGAAGGAAGGTGTTTCTAAGCATTTGGTTGTGGTTCTTCATTTCCTTAGCACCTTCTCTGCCCAGTCGCCTCCATTCTCCCTAGAAGGGAGAGGTTGAAGTCCAGGTTGTCCTTGAGGGGGGTCCCAGCTCAGAGAGGATGCATGGATGGGTGGCGGCAGGGGGCTCAGCAGCCCAGACCTCCAAAGTGCGGTCCCTGCCCCAGGGCTCTGATTTATATAGCAGCTGAGAACCTTCTGGGAGGAAAATGTGACCCAGGGCCACCACCGATAACCAGAAACGAACTCTTGTGCAGCTGAGAGGGCAGGGAACTGGCATGGAGGTTTGAGGAAGGACAACAGAGACGCCGCGAGGACAGTCACCATTGTAGAAAAGTCTGGTGAGGACAGTTCCCGTGGAACTGGAGTGATGGTGGGCAGAGGCCCTCTGTGAGCAGCGGGGCTCGGAGCAGGCTGGGTCAGGTGTCCTGCGCACAGGGACCCCGCTGGTACCCATGGCGTGGGGAGGCCAGTCCTTAGGCTCTAGGGAGAGCCCAAAGGGACTGCTAGACTGTGTGGTCCTACCCTGTCGTTCTATGCCAGAGGAAACCGAGGCCCGGGGAGGCCACTGTCCACTTCCCAGAGTGACCAGAGTGAGTCTCAGGAAATGCAAGTGTCCGTGGGAGACCAACTGATGATATGATGTTCAGGTTTTCAAGAACAGATTGTTAGAGACAACTTATTTGAATGTCTGGAGAGGAGGGAGGTCCTGCTCCCGTGGGGAGGGCATCTCGGAAGTCGAAGTCACAGGGACTTATCTGTGCATTGCACGTGGGTGTCCAGGGCCCACGGGGTCCTGGGTGACCGACAGTGAGGTGCCTGCGAGTGAGACAGGTCTGAGCAAAGATTCAAGAGCTCCGATGGGGACCAGGTCTTTTGTGAGGGGCCAGTCTGCCAGCCTCTCACGTCTGCGATGAACTCTGGACCCGGTGGCTAAGATGGAGAGATGGGCTTTGTTGCCTCAATGCCCCCTCTGCCACTCAGGAGCTCAGTTGGTCACCAGCCTCTCTGCTTGGCTCTTGCCTGCAAATTGAATGTTGTCATCAGGGCGCTGTTGGAATGAAGTGTGATGAAGATTAAACGGGATAAAGTTAGCGTGGTGTGAATGTGGCAATGGCCCCTGGAGGCTGGCCGCATTGCAGGGGGCCGCCAGAAGTGAGCTCAGAGAACCCCAGAGAGCCAAACGGTGGGCCTGAGCCCAGGTGGGCACTGCGGGGCTGTGGTTATGGGAGGATCTTCTGGGGGTGGGGGGCAGCTCTGGGGAGGCCACGGCAGCAGTGCTGGCTGACTCCATCCCCCAGGGTGGGGGGCCTCAGTGCCAGGCTGAGCACGCTGAGCCCCAAGCAGGGAGCACCCCAGCACCTTCAGAAAGGCTTCTGGCTTCAGGAAGAGGCCCAGCCCCGAGCTCAGAACCACAGCCCTTCCACAGAGTTCTAGAACCTTTGTAACTTCCCCGCAGCCAGCACTGCACTCCTGCTTCCAGGGAGCAGTCAGCTCCTCGTGCCCAAGGAGCTCATGTGCTCCCTGGAGGTCTACAGAGAGGGGCTGCCCGGACGGCCCACGCCCTGGGCGCCCTGCGGGGAGCAGACTCCATGGGCTGTGCCGCTCCCACCCTTGGGGCCCAGGGCTTTGGTGCCTGTGTGTGGGGGGATGAGGGGCAGTGTCCAACCCTCCTGAGAGGAGTGTGGAGGAGGGAAGGGAGGGAGCAGCCCCCTGTGCACCTGTGAGGTAGGACTGTTAGCCTCACGTTCCCGTTGAGGACAGAACTGTTTAGCCAGGCCAGGTGAGAGCACTGGGCTGGGAGTCAGGAATCCTGGGTTCTGATTCTGGCCCCAGCAAGATAAGCTGTGCCACTTTGAAGCCACTGGGTGCCCCTGGGCCTCAGCCCCCTCACCTGGAACAGGGAGGAGTTGGACTAAATGATCCTCAAGGCTCTCCCAGCCCAGAAGTTTTACAGGTCTCGGATGTAGAGCTAGACAAAGGCACCAGTCAGACAGACAGCCTCTTGCACAGTGTGGTTTGATGGCTAAGGGGGCAGGGATGGTGAGGACCAGAGGACACGGTTGCTGTCTTCACGTGTATAGAGAGGAAAAAACTGGAGCTCAGTATAAGGAAATATACGCAGCTCAATGAAAGAAATATAAAGACAGAAATATGATACTAAGTCCCTGATGGAGCTGCCTGAAAGTGGGGCGGTCTCCACGGGAAAACAAGTCCCCATCACCAGAAGCGTAGGAGCTGAGAATAGTTCCGTGCACCTGATGGGCTGCAGGAGCGGGTGACTTCCAAGACACGCTCCACCTTGGAAATCCTGAGCCTGTGTCCCTCCACCCGGGCTGCCCCAGAAGCCAGCGCAGCCGCCAGGCCTGGCAGCTTCCTTCTGAGCTGCTGCTCCCAGCCCCACGACCCCTGAAATCATTCACTGATGTGCCAAGATCAGGTGTGAGCAGTGTGTGGAAAGCCATTTGCTTTCTAATGATAGCTAAAATGCCGAAGTTTCTGAATGAGCTCTTCCATAGAAATTAGACCTGTAAGAGTGATGTTATTACAGGTGTAAGTATGCACTTTCCCGAGTGGGAGGATATGAGGTGGTGTGTTGGCTGGAGCTGCTAGAATTGGGCACAGCCCTGGACCCGGCCATAGCGTGCAGCCCGTAGGTGACACCGCCCACCAAAGGCAGCTCTGGAGAAAGCAATTCAAGGGTCTCCAACCTGGTGGGGTGGCTCTCTTCCCATAGGGCTCCTCCTGCCTTGCTGTGGGGATTACTTCCTCTCTCTCTGTACCCCCAATGCACAAGCCCATCTAACCCCAGCTCCCCAGTCCTGGCCAGAGGTCACCATGGCACCGGGCAGGATGTCTGTGAGTGAGGCCAAGAATGTAGGCACACTGTGTGGTGCCAGCCAGAAGCCAGAGAGACTGGCCCTTCTGCTAACCCCACTGTGCATGCGTGCCTGCATATGTAAGTGTGTATGTGGGGGGGATGGGGGGACCAATTAACCAGAGGGCTATTTTGGCTCTCGGTCATTTTGTCCCTTGGAAGGGAGCAGCTTGCAAGCTCTATGTCCATCCAGAGTCTAGCTTGGTCCATGAGGGGCCAGGGACGTAAGCTCTTCCCAGCGCCCAGGGTTTCTGTTGTTACGTGACTCGGGGTGCTTTCATACCTGAGTGCAGGGAAGGAGGCTGAGAACCCCAGAAAAGGGGAGATAACTAGGCACTAGCCAAGGATCAATCATGGGGAATGTGGCCAAAGAGAACAGAGCAGGGTTATTTGGGAAGAAACCCAGGCCGCCTGGAACGTGCCCAGATGTGCTGTGGGGTAGTGCATCCACCCAGGAGAGGGGCTGCAGGCAAGATGAGGAAAGGGGGTTACTCTGCACCCCACGCCCTCTCTCTGCCTCAGTGTCAGCTACACTTGTGAAGTGGGGAGACCCCCTCCCCACCCTTGATGTCCTAGAGGGGCGCAGTGCAATGCACATGCAAAGCCCCACCCTCCCTGCAGGTGAGAGTCCCCGGGAGGTCCTCTGAGGTATCGGCAGGTTGAGATGAGAAAAAGAGACATCTAGGGAGACCACAGTCTTTCTTCACTCTTTACTGTGTAAAAATAAACTCAACAGTTCATGTCGTTTCAGCAAGAAAATGAAAAAAAGAAAGCAAGAATACCAGTAGAAATAGTGCATTTCCAGAATTGCTGATGGGAGGTGGCAGGTCCCATGGTTTTGACCCATTTGATACCCAAAAGGCTGCAGATCATATGAAAAATGTATAGCTTTGGTTAGCAAATAATGAAAAAGTAAGGTACATCAATTCTCTTTCATATTATACAGTATATACATTGTAACAATATCAACCACAGGGGGCTTTGCTTTGTTGTTAGTTTTGTTTGTTTTGGCAAATAAGACAAAATTGGGACTCTAAGTATTGGGCTTCTTTTCTCCTCAATGACTTGTTCTCCTTCAACAAATTGCACTTAAGTCCACCGTGCATGGAAGCGATACATTTCCCCCCCCGACGTTGGTTGAATCAATTTACACACTATGTTTTAAGAGATGAAACCACGACTGCTTCAAGCCACATTTTGGTTGCCATAAAATTACAAAGAATTCCATCCCCTTGATGTTAATACTAACCCTAGTTTCTTCTCTCAAGGTTGGAACTGCTATTTGAGTCCTCAACTGGTTCCACTTAACAAGTCAGCTCGGAGATAATGGGTCCACCATTACCGGCCCACTTACGTCCTGGTCCCAACATGCCTTTGAGAACAGGTGGCCCCTCCTTGGAGCTCATTGGAACAACCATGAACCTCCCGCCAGCCTCTCCCCTCCCCTTCACTGCCCACAAGACACCCCCTTGGTCTCAGGTCCCAGGGCTGGTGACAAAGTGATCTTTGCAGTCTTAGAAAATAAACTGGGAATCTACAAAAGGAAAAGAAAGCATACAAAATGTATTTCTTTCTTCCAAAATACGTGCTTTCAGTTCTACGATTTGGCGGAGCCTGAAAGTATTTTCAAGGGAGATAGAGGTTGAGTTAATTTATAGGTTTGTCCTTTTCTTTCATAAAAATACTCTTGTTTGGTAATAAACTTTTTCTTCTACAGTAAGAGAAATAATACCGTGTTATCAAAAGCAAGAAGGCTTACGATTCAAGTGGGATCTAAGCCCCCGAGGGCCAGGAGAGCCTGTCGGGTGCTCCCCCACCTCGGACACGCAGGGAGCTGTGGGGCTCCAGCTTGGCTAAAGCAAACACTGTCTTGACAGTGCTTTTTATCTTCTTCTTTTATAAAATGGCTTACCTGAGATAGGCATGGATTATTCAGTGCAAGAGGGAACATCAATCAGATTAAGGAGTAGATGGAAACTACGTGGATTAGATTTGTGGCTGTGTCATCTACCTCTCTCAGGGCCAGCAAAGGGCCAAGTGTTAACACAGTGAGGGAGTCGAGGGACTTGGCACAGGCTCCAGTGAGGGGCAGGGACGGAGCTAAATGTCAGCTTCTGGCACCATGGGTGCGTCAGGGGAGGGGTGAGGAAAGGGAAGGGTTGGGGGGTGGAAGGGACTTAGACGTAAGCGTCTGGGGTAGGCTCTGCCCCTCTCTAGTTAGGGCAGAGGATGGCTTGTGGTCCTGAACGGACAGCTCCCACGGCGCCCGCCTGCGCTGGGCAGGTGGCGGGCTGGGGGTCCGGTAGATCGGCAGGGGCTGGTGGGAGGTGCTGACCGGAGAGCACCTAGCCCGCTCTGGGCCTCGCAACAGCTCCCAGATGGCTGATGTGAGGGTGGGCGATCTGGTCTAAAGGGGTGATTCCAAGCTCTCGCTCTCTCCCAACCGCGGGCACTGTTGAGGCCTGTTCTCGTCCTACACGTGAAGAATACTTCTGGGTGTGTTTGGGGGGTGGGGAGGGGAGCGGGAAATTCATCTCTCCCGTGACCTCCTCCCACACCCTTGGCTTGCTTTCCCAGCCATTTTCAGTAGCTACATGGATGGTCATAGGACAATGGGTGGCACTCGGCACAAAACACAGAACCAGAGAAGTCCATGCAGGCAGGGGAACACACATCAGACTGAGGGAGCAAGGGACACGCCACCCTGAGGGACATGCAAACAGAGAAGATCCCTGCAGATCCAAAGATGCCACAACCTACGGGCTCTGACAAAGCACAATGGTCAGAAAAAGCCACTGCTGAACCACAACACGCAGCCTGGACCGCACCCTCGGGGAGAGAGCATTGCGTCGCAGGACGGCGACTGGGTACCGTGCAGACACCCACGTGGACACTGACACAGACACCAACACAGACACCAACACAGACACACAGATGCACTAGGTTTCCGACAATATGGACCTGCGTTTAGGGAGAAGGTGCCCCTGGAAGGAACAGCAGAGGAAACACCTGCTCCTCCTGGAGAAATGTCTGCAGCTGTAGATGAGCCAGGCAGTGCAGTAGAAAGACTTCTGGAAAGAGTTGCCAGCCTTTTGCTATTTAGATTCCTGGGGATGGAGCCCAGGGTGCCCTTGGAGCGTGCGGCCCCCAGATGGTGCAAAAAAGCAGGGAGCTCACCTTACCCCGGGCATGATCTGTCTGAGCCCTCGTTTTCTCTCTCACGTAATGCGCGTGCGCGC